GCCCAGCAGGGGAGGGCCTGGCCCACGAGTCCCCTTGTCTGTCCCTCTGTGTCCTGAGGAGCCCCCTGTGCCGGCGCCCTGGGAATCTGGGCGCACAGGTTGCTACTACCCCTGTTGAGGTCGTTGCTGAGGCGCCAGAGAGAGAGCCAGGGAGGAGGAAACCTGGCTCAGGGGGCCGTGCCACCCGTCCTGCGCCAGCACCATGCACTGAGCACCCCCACCCCCTGCCCCGCCTCGGGGCCGCTGCTTTGGGGAGGAGACAGCTCAGTGGCTGAGGGGCCAGGCCCCGGGGCACCTTCTGGCAGCCCTGAGCAAGTGGTCTGGACACCCCGGGGCCCATGAGTGGCAGGGGAGGGGGGTGGCTCAGTGCGCTCTCCCTCCCCTCGCGCTGGTCTTGTCTCTGCCCAGCCCCCAGCGTCCCTGAATGCGGCGCTCAGGCCCGGATCCCGTACTTTGTCCTGTGCTGCCCCGCCCCCCGTGCCCTGCTGTCCCCTCTGGTGGGTACCCTGCCTTCCCTCGGCCCACCCCTGCCCCCACCCCCGTCGCCGGTGTCTCCTCACCGCTGTGTGGGTCACAGGACCCCCTGGGGTGTGCAGACCCTGATGGCACCAGGCAGGGGCCCTGGGCCGGGCAGGCTCAGGGCCGCCGGTGTCTGTCCATCCGAGTGCTGGCCTCTCCCCCACCTCCCAGGCTCTGGGAACGAAAGCCTTGCCTGAGGGATGGGGTCCCAGCAGGACCCTTGGCTGAAGGTGAGAGGTCCTTTCTCTTTACTCACTGCTCAGGTGACTTAAGAGGCTTCAATCCCTACGAAGTTTTAAGTCTCCCCAGGGGCCTGGCTGGATGGTGGAAGAGACGGAAGCTCAGGACACCTGAGTCCTGGGGCTTCTCTGCCGCGGACTCGTCACTTGCCCTTTGTGAGCTTTAGTTTTTAGTTTATTCCTGCCTTTTTTTTTTAATTTTTATGTCTTTTATTTTATTTTGAGAGACAGAGACAGAGAGCGAGTGGGGGAGGGGCAGAGAGAGAGGGAGACACAGAATCCGAAGCAGCTCCAGGCTCTGAGCTGTCGGCACAGAGCCCGATGCGGGGCTCGAACCCACAACCGTGAGATCATGACCTGAGCTGAAATTGAGTCAGACGCTAAACCGACTGAGCCCTCAGGCACCTCTCCTGTCCTTTTTTTTTTTTTTTAAGTTTTATTTATTTAAGTAATCTCTGTACCCAACGTGGGGCTCCAGCTCACAACCCCGAGGTCCAGAGTCACATGTTTCTTTGACTGAGTTAGGCTGGGTTCTCCTGTCCTTAAAATGTGGGGTTCAGGGGCACCTGGGTGGCTCAGTCGGTTAAGAGTCCGACTTTGGCTCAGGTCATGATCTTCTAGTTTGCAAGTTTGAGCCCCCCATCGAGCCCTGCGTCGGGCTCTGTGCCGGCAGCTCAGAGCCTGGAGCTGCTTCGGGTTCTGTGTCTCCCTCTCTCTCTGCCCCTCCCCTACTTGTGCTTTCTTTCTCCAGAAGTAAGTAAACATTAAATTTTTTTTAAAAAATGTGGGGTTCGGATTGACTCTCCCAATCCAGATCGGAGACCTTTTGATGTCTTTTGCTAAAGATTCCAAGTGACCTTGGTGGAGAGGGCGCCAGGAGGCTGTCAGGATTCGTGGGAAACAGCTCCGGGCCGTGGCGCAGGCTGCGACGGTCAGCGTGTCATCAGTTGGACCCACTTCGAACGCCACTGTGCCAGGCTGTGTGGGACAGACAGGTTTCCAAGGGCGTGGTGCTCCCAGTGCACAGAAGCGCGGGGTGCTGGCATGTGGTGCGCGCGCAGAGGCCGGCGAGAGCAGGTGCCTGGCCCTCTCTCCGTCTTCCTGCTGCTGCGGTTTTGAAGCTGCTGAGCCCTCTCCATCGCAGCGCGCCGTCCCCTGTCCCCTGTGGCCCTGGGATTGGAGGAGCCTGCAGCTTAGGCCCATGGCGATGCCTCCTTCGAGGCCGTCCACACTCTCCCGGGGTGGGGGGGGTCCCAGCTATGTGTGCCTCCTCGCTTAACCTGTAACACTGGGTTATGCTATCCCGTGTGTGTGTGTGTGTGTGTGTGTGTGTGTGTGTGTGTCTGAGCCCTCTTCACGTATCAGCACACGCTACATTGTGAGCGTATTTGAGGCAGAGACTGTGTGCCCAGGATAGAGGCTGGCACAGAGGGCGTGAAGGACTGGACGGGCAAGCCCAGCTGTTCCGTGCCATCTCCAGGCGACGAGCCCCAGCCCGGCACCCTGGCCACCCCTGGTGTTTACCCTGGTGCCCTGCCTCCCCAGCCGCTCCGCCAGCGGGAAAGCGCCGGGCGCCAGGGTCCAGTGAATGCCATTTCCCGTGTGTCCCGAGTACAGAGTGGAGAGGAGACCCCCCCGCCACCCGATAGGGGCTCATTCCCGGAATGCGGCTGGGGCGGCGGACGGGCCCCGCCCGGGACCCCGCCTGCCCACACAGTGCCAGTTAGAGAACCTGGGGGCCAAGCGTTTGCAGGCCGGAGATGAGAAGGCAACCCCTCCCTGGGGCTTTCGGGCCCTATGTTGCCCACACTTAGTGCCCACCTGTACCCTGGCCTCACCCAGCCTGGCAGGGCCGTGCGGTGGCTTCACCTGCTCGCCTGTCTTTGGCCTTCTGTCTCCTCTGTTGTCTTGACAGATGGAGGGTGTCCGCAGCCCCAGCACCAGCAAACTCGGCCCTTGGGCCATAGTGTTTGCTTGGTTTTTAAAAATTTTTATTTGAGAAAGAGAGCACGTATAAGCAGGGGAGAGGGGCAGAGGGAGAGAGAGAGAAGCCCAGGCAGGCTCAGCATGGAGCCCCATGCTAGGGCTCAATCCACCCCGCCCCCAACCCTGGCCTCCTAACCGGGGCGGAGCCACCCAGGTGCCCCGCCACAATGTTGTAAATGAACAAAATAAAATCACAAAGGGTTATAAAGGAAACCAATAACACGGAAACACAGTTAGCAAAACATTTACTTTTTTTGGTAGTAATATGTATGCTTCTTCATTAATACATGCATAACAAGGAAGGCCTAACAACTATGGTCATTTCAATGCAGTGTTGAGAGCAAATGATATTTTGAGAGATCTTCAAAACCTATAAGGCAGCCTGAAAATATCTGTTGGGGCGCCTGGGTGGCTCAGTTGGTTAAGCGTCCGACTTCTGCTCAGGTCATGATCTCACGGTTCGTGGGTTCGAGCCCCGTCGGGCTCTGTGCTGACAGCTCAGAGCCTGGAGCCTGTTTCAGTCTGTGACTCCCTCTCTCTCTGACCCTCCCCTGCTCGGGTCTCTCTCTCTCTCAAAAATAAATAAAAACATTAAAATTTTTTTTTAAATTAAAAAAAGAAAACATCTATGATTTCGGTTGGTTACACAGAAGCAGGCACCCTTTTTTAAAAAAATTTTTTTTAATGTTTGAGACAGATCATGAGCAGGGAAGGGGCAGAGAGAGAGGGAGACACAGAATCGGAAGCAGGATCCAGGCTCTGAGCTGTCAGCACAGAGCGTGACGTGGGGCTTGAACTCACAAACCATGAGATCATGACCTGAGCCGAAGTCGGACGCTTAACCGACTGAGGCCTCCAGTCGTCCCCAGGCACTCTTAAACTATCTTGGCTTGTTGCCCCAGTACCTAAGAGAATGTTTAATTTCAGTTACAGGTGAGTGAAAACAGAGATGGAACTTTGGTCCTGTCTGGGTCCACAGCCCCCTGAAGCCCACAGACCCCAGCCAAGAACCCGATTGCAGAATGGGGTGGGAAGAAACCGGGAAAGCCCCCCCCCCCGTGCGGAGCTGTATGCTTCCTCTGCCTTTTAATGCTCACACCAGCCGCAGGCGAGACGTGTTACAATTTTTTGATGAGAAACACGAGCCTGAGAGGGTGAATGATGTGCCCAGAGCCAGCCAGGCCCCGCTCGAAGGCCCTGACAGAGGCTCCCTCTGCACAGAGCTGCCTCCTCCAGGGACACAGAGCAGGGCACCGAGGTGTTCAGTTGACCCTTTGGGCCCGGCATCCCTTCCCAGAGCCTCTGACCTGCAGGGTTTAACCCGCATCCGAGGGGTGAGGGCCCCTGAAATCACACACACTCAGTTATTTTTATCTCCAGTTTATTTTTTTAGACTAAGAGCAGAGTATGAAAGTCACAGCCAAAGCACTTGAAAAAGGCCCAGAAGGATGGGTGGGGCCATGGAGGGTGGGCGGGGCCAGGTCCGGGGACTGGGGTCCCGGGGCTGGGGTCCCGGCTCAGGGCTGGAGAGGGGGGCGGGGCGCTGTTGTCTCACGGTCTCCAAAAGTGTCTGTGCGTTGCATAGGCCTTGTCTTCACAGAAGACAGAAGAGGGGCCAGGGGGTCCCCCAGGGGGGGCCGAGCCTGGTGGGGAAGGGGTCTGAAGCTGGAAGGGGAAGTCAAGGAAGGTCAGGGACTCACGGAGGGGGAGGGAGTCGTCCGTCTGTACATTATATATAGAGATATAGAGTCTGTACATGCCGCCGGCACCCCAGTGCCCACCCCTTGCCACCCGTGTCCACTGCCCGCCCCCCCCCAGGGGTGTCCACTTGTAAACTTGGATTCAGTCCAAACCACAGTCCTGGGGGCGGGGGTGGGAGGAGGAGGACGTGCTTATTGCTGTAAACAGGGCGGGGGGGCAGTGGGCGCCGCCACCCCCTCGCCCATCTAGTCCCCTCCCTGGGTTCCGCCGGAGCAGAGAATGATGGGGGTGCCTCCCACGCTCGGATGTGCGCTCTCTGGGGCGTATGTGTCTCTGGTGGGGACAACGGGGGAGGGTACCAGGGATCTGACAAAGGTACCGGAGCCACAGGGCCACCCACCCGGGACCGTGGCTGTCCCTGCGTCGGGTCCACTCCAGTGCCCCACGCGGGGAGAGCCGGGGCAAAGGGGGCGGGCACGGAGGTTCGGTGCAGACCCCACTGCCGGCCACAGCAGGAGGGGTCTAGGCCCCACCGCTAGGCTTCCCTTGGAGAGGCCGAGGCCTCCCCGCCAAGGAAGGGGGCGGAGCTAGGAGGCCAGGAGGGTCATAAGGAAGAAGGCGATGCCCGCCGCCAGGGGCAGCTGTTCCCGCTTGGGGCTCGTCCCGCTGACGCTCTTCTCAAGCTTGGGCACCTGGGGATTCTCTCCCTCAAAGTCTTCTGTGGGCAGACGGATAGAGAGACCGGTGAGGGCGGGGCTGCGCGCCCGGACGGGGCACGCGGCGGCGGCAGCAGCGGTGGAGCCGGGACGTGACCACCCATGGGGTACGAGGGGTCCGTGCCCCGGGGAAGGCATGCGAGGGGGGCGAGGCACCGGGGACGGGGGCTGCGGTTCCAGCAGTGGCCACCAGAGGGCGCTGCGCAGACTCACCCAGCACGTTGATCTTCACATGGGGGCCCATGGTGAACTGGGGGAGGGTGGGGGCCGGCTTCTCCCCGGAGTGCGATGCTGCGGGGTGGGGCGGGGGTGGGAGAGAGGAGGGGAGCGTCAGGGCCAGGACCCCCCCCGCTACAACTGGAGAGTGAGTCCCCGCTCCTGTGTCCCCCCGCCGCCCCCGGGAGCCCGGGGAGCCCCGAAGCAGGGAGCCGAGGACGCGGTCGCGGCTGGGCGCCGAAGGTACTCACTGGAGGCGCAGCAGACAAACACTTTCATCCTCAGACACTTCCAGTGCAGGCTGTGGGTGGGCGTGGCTGGGGACGAGACGCGGCCTGAGCGGCGCTCTGCGGGCTCACGCCCGGCCCCCCGCGCCCTCCGCGCCGCCCCCTGCCCCCGGCAACGTCCTTCCCGGCTCCCCTACTCTTTGGCTTGGGTCGCGGTGGCTCCCCCTTCAGCCCGCGAAGCCCCTTTGGTCCCAGCCCTCAGGAAACTGAGTCCTGAGGTCTCAGTCCCGGAACATCCCTCCCGGAAGCAGCGACCCTGCGACCCACCCTTCGGGCCGTCACTAAACCTCTCAGCCTCGGGTGCTGTCAGAGCAGAAACCCTAAGGCCCCCGGGCATCATCCCAGGGTGTCACTCCCAGCGACGCAGATCACGTAGCAGCCACGTGGGCCCTCCCCGGCCCTTGACACCCCACGCCCTGGCCATCGCTCTGACAACTTTTAGGCCCACCTCCACAACGACCCCATCCCCGGATCCTGGGGACCCCAGAGCCTGTAGCCGCTCAGATACTTCTTAAGCCCTGCCCCAACCCCTGGGGACACCACCCCTTGGCCCTACTCATTCTCTTAGGCTCCGCCTCCAGCCCCTGGGGACTCCACGCCCTGGCCGCCACTCACACTTAGGCCCCGCCCCGCCCCCGGGACCCCATTCCCTGGCCCTCAGTCCGGTACTCCTTAGGCTCTCCCCGCACCCCGGCCCCAGCCCCCGGACTTCACTGACATTCTTAGGCCCCACCCCAGTCCCTCGAGGCTTCACTCTTGTCACTCACTCTCCTTCGGGCCCCATCCCCTCGGCCCCATCTTCTGGAAATCACTCAGGTACTATTTAGGCCACGCCCCCAGGAACCCCATCCTGGACCATCACACCTTAGGCCCCGCCCCTGGGACCCCACCCCCTGACCCTCCCTCTTTAGGCCCCGCCCCGGGACCCCACCCCCTGGTCATCACTTTTTAGGCCCCGCCCCGGGACCCCGGCCCGCCCCGCCCCGGCCGCACTCACAGATGTAGTAGTACTCGTGTCCGGCGTGGAACTCGTACCCCAGCGAGAAGGCGCTGTAGCGCTGGAACTTCTCCGAGAACTTGATGGGGCTGTGCGGGGCGTGCGGGCGGTTGCACTCCCATCGCTTGAAGCCTTGGCTGGCGTTGCAGGTGCGGTAGCCGGCGCGGCTCACCATGTACAGCACGTACTGCTCCGCCCCGCCCCCGGGGCCCGGCCCCGAGCCGTTGTAGTGAGGGCAGTAAATATCCAGATAATCGTTCACGTTCACCTGCACGGTGTAGCCCTCTCGCCGCAGGCTGCGGGGGAGAGGAAACGGGTCAGAGACGAGAAACCCCACGCCGACCCGCCCCCACCCCGCCGCTCCGCGGACCTCCCCCGGGGTCTCCGGAGCCTCCCCTCCGCTCAGTACTGGTCCCCCGGGCCCAGGTGCCATCGGTCCCCCGCTACCCTCCCAGGCCCACGCCTCCTTCTGTCATTCTCTTAGCGGCCGCCAGGGGGCAGCAGAGGCGCAGGGAAGCCCGGCCTGCCTCGGAAGGAAAGGAGAGGCGGGGGAGCAGGGAACGTACGCTCTGGTTGCCATAGGAACGGCGCAGGCCCCTGCGACTCCCAGACCCGGACCCCGGTTTCCTCCGTCCACCCCCCACAATTCAGCACTGGGACGGGAGTGATAGGGGCACGGAAGGGGTGAAGGCGGGAGGGGTCCCGTCCCAGAGACGCGCACCCTCCATCCCCTCTCCCGGCCTGCTTCCCTGCCCCCCAAGGCCAGACGGACGGGACCTGCCCTCACATACGCCGGTGCGGGGGCTCCACGCAGTACCCACCGAAGCCCTGTGGCACACACGCAAATGTGTCCACCGGCCGGCGGGAGGCCTAGGCTGGGTGTGTGCTGGACCTGCGTGCCAACAGCGTTGACCCCAGCCGTCTCCAGCTCTCTCCCTGCACCCACTACCCCCCCACCCCGACACACACACACACACACACACACACACACACACACACACACAGGCATGCCCTCTCTCAACAGGATTACTAGCAATTAAGGTCCCCAATAACGCGAGACAACAGGTCGGGGGGAGCCAGGGGACTCCACAGCAAGGCTCCACGTGGTGTCATGCCAACCAGCCCAAAGTTCTGTCTCTGTACATCTTCCTCCCCAACCTGGCACCACTGCCCCCTTAATGGTGCCAGGCAGTGTAGTGGGCACAGTGCCCAGACAAGATGGCTGTGCTGCTTACTCCCCAGATCCTTCTATGGGACCCAGAAGCAGATGCTGGGTCCTTTGTAATCCCCACCTGCCTTGCCGATCAGCATCAAAGTGCTGGTCTTAATGCCCTCCACGGTGGTGCCGGGTGGGGGGGTGGCAACAACAGTGAATGGGGCAAGAAACTCAGGGAAGCAGGCAGGAGTTTCCCCCGGCTTCTCCAGGGCAGGAACGCACACGCCCCGGCAGAGAGAGGTTGAACGTGGTGGACACAGGAGGCATGGGGTACGTGGCAGAAGGTCACAGCCCTGGGGTCCCGAGTCCCTGGGAGCTCCCTGAAGGGAGGCGCCGGCTCCCTGGGCAGACACCTCCCAGCTCCACAAATAGTAATTAGATCCATTAGGGAAATAGGCTCGGAGGCCTCCGAATTGGGTGGGCCTCCAGGGTCCTTCCCCACCCTCCCCTACTTCCTTGGCATTACCCGGGTGGCCCCCTGCCCAAGCACTCCCCACCAAGCCTGGCAGTAAGCAGGCAGGGCAGAGCTGGTGTTTGGGCACCTGGGAGAATGGGCACAGCCTCCTTGACTCATCAGGAATGCCACCAGCCCCACTCGGTTCCCACGGGAGTGATGGGTCACTCAGGCCCCTCCCTGGCCCTGGCACTCAGGTGGGCAGGAATCTCGGCCTGGGGCACCGGGAGCAGGAAAACGGGTTAGACCAGGCCTGGCTTCTGGCGCCACCTGGGTTTGCCTCTCTATCCCCAACTTCCAAGTCTACCTCTCCTCCCTCGCCCACAGGCCTTGAGGGGGGCCCACCGGTGCCAGGGTGCCAGCTGCACAGCCACCCCGGGGCCTCTGTCCTCGAGCTTCACCCAGGTCTGCAGCTGGGCTCTGAAGCGGCCCCTCCCTGGGGCGCTGCCCAGGTCCCTAGAGCACAGCCCGGGCCGCCAAGGAGCGAGCGAAGCCGGAGCCACTGGGGCAGCTTCCCCGGTTTCCTCAACAGGGCGGCGACGAGCCTCACGGAAAGCTTGCTGGGTGACGAGTGAGGAGAAGCCACCTTTGACCCGTCTGCCCCCGGGCTGGGTGGCAGGAACAGCTCCTGCAATGCCCCCACACCGTGGGCACGAGGGAGGAAAGCCTGTTCTGGAACGGTTGCGGGCAGCAGCGGGGCCCGGTGGGCAGGAGGGGGGGCCTGGGGGCCAGAGTCCCGAGTCACAACTCCCGGGAGACCCGGGTGAGGTGTCCGCTTGGCTTGGACGCTTTAATTGAATCTGCCGTCCTCCCTGCCCTGGCAGCGAAGAGGGAGGTGCCTCTAGGCCCAGCGAGCCCGGCAGCTAAGTCGTCCTGGGGCGGGGGCGGCTCCCCATCCTGGGGGGGGGGGGCAGCGGGGTGCGCTGCGTGCCCGGCCCTTCAAACCGTTCTCGGTCCCTCCTCACTTCACCCCCTCCCAGCCTCTGCCTGTTTCGCAGAGAGACAAGCGCGTCGACACACCCCACCGGGAGGGGGTGCCCCCTCACCCCGTTACTTCGTCTCTCCCGGCCCTCGCCGCCTCCCGGGCGCATTCCGACCCTTCTCCGTCACCCCGGCAGTGCCCCGCCGGCTCGAGCCCGGTGCGGTGGGCGGCGGGGGAGCAGGGAAGGAGCAAACCTCTCCCCGCGGGGCAATTAGGGGCAGGTAAACAGGGTGTCTAACAAGACCGGGGAGGAGGGAAAGCGTCCCGGGGGGCCCCGAACTCGCTCAGTCCCCGCCCCCACCCCAGAGGCCGGACGCCGAGCTCCCGGCTGCGGGACCCACGGAGAGACGCCGGCCCGGGCTCGCCTGCCCTCTGGCGCGCGCCCCCGCGGCGGCGCGCCGCTCGCTCCCGCGGGCGAGGCCGGCCCACGTGCGCGCCCGGCCGGGGGCGGGCGGGGGGCGGGCACGTTCGCGGGGCGGCGCGTGCTCGCCGACACCCCCGCACCCCTGAGGCGCTCGGGGCGCCCCGCCCCGCCGGGTCTCGCCGGCGTCGGGCGGGGAGTCCGCGCGCCCGCACCCCCGCCCCCTCCCTGCGACAGCGGCGGCGGCGGCGGCGGTTTATTGATCTGCAGCGGCGGCGAAGAGCGAGAGACTCCCAGAGACGAGTGAGACCCGCGTCCCTGAGAGGGCCCGGAATCCAGAGACGGAGGAGGAGGAGGGGGTGCGGACGGACGGAGACGGGGGGCGCCCGCAGGCAGCAGAGCCCGGGCGGCTGAGTGGCGGGGAAGGGGGTGCGGGCCGTAGGCTCGCGGCCGCGAGGACACGCGCAGGGGAGAGGCCGGCAGGGGCCCAGTGCAGCCTCAATAAATATTTGTTGAATGAACGTGTGAATGAAAGAGAAACATTTCGGAGATAAAGGGGTAGGGAGACGGCAGAGGAAGGTGTTCCCGAGGCTTCCCGAGTTAGCGGCGAACGGCGGCTCCCTGCTCTTCTGCGAAGAAATGAAGCACAGGCCGAGGGGCACACACGCTTGGCCATCAGCTGGTCCGCCCACCCCCACTCCCACCCCCACCCCCAGTTCAGTTCCGGGCTCCAGGGACCCCTCGACCTCACATTCTCCTTCCCTCCACTATAGTGCCGTCCCCCCATCCCTAGTTTCTGGGCCACGTTGGGAACCGGTCTCTCCAATTACAGGGGAGCACACGGAGGGACCGAGTCGGGGGACAGGGGGCAAGAGCATGACCGCTGTGCGGGGCACGACCCCCAGGTCTGTCAAAGGAGGCCTCTGCACGTGTCAGACCAGCACCTTCCCACGTGACCCCCAGGAGGCGGGGTCGCAAGACCCTCTCCACGTGACCCCAAGGGGCAGAGACCCTCAGCACGTGACAGGGGGTGGGAGCCCGGCGCCCCGCTCACGTGACGGGGGGAGGGGGCGCGGGAGCCTGTGGCTCGGCCCGGCCCCGCCCCCAGTTCCCTGGCCCTCTCCACTCCCGGCTCGGGAGCACGTCGCTCTCACGATTTATGGGGCCGCGGCTGCCGCAGTGAGGGAGCCGGGGAGCCCGGGCGCAGCGGCAACAAAGGCCGAGGAAGCGAGGCGGGGGCGGCGGCGTCCTCCCCGCCGGGTGCGCGCCCCCTCCCACCTCTGCGGGTCCAGACCCGTGGGGGAGCGGGCAAGACGGAAAGGAGGCTCCCGGAACCGGGCTCCCCCACCCCCTCCCGGGGCTTTCACCTGCACCCAGGTGTATGGGGGGGAGGGGAACCTGATCAACAACAGCGCCCACCACCCTCTCCCCGGCCATTCCCGCATACCCCTGGCTCCGCTTCTCTCGAGAACGCAGGGATGCCCCAAGGGTGGTGGGGACCCGGGGCCCCTCACCTGCGTACTCTCCACTCCCCGCCAGACTCTAGCGGGGCGGGGGGCGGACGTGCGAGTCTGGGGGAGGGGGATGAGCTAGACAGACTGGGGAGTCAGCCCCCAGCACCCCCGGAGTTCTTCGAGTCCCGCTCCAGGGGGGGAGGGGCCTCCTCCCCACCCCCGAGGTTTCCATGGGAAGCGAGAGGGGGGCGTCGTTGGTTCATCCCCACCCCCAGTCTGACACTCCGGGCGCGAGGGGGAGAGAGGGGGAGGCGCGGAGCCCCAAACAACAAAGAGCCGAGCGGCGAGTGGCAGCCCCTCCCCCGAGAGGTTGGGGGTCGCGGCCGCCCGGCCCTCCCGGTCGCCTCCCCTGGGGCTTCGCCGTTTGCTCCCCAGCCGCCCCCCAGGGTGGGGAGCCAGAGGCAGTGCCGCCGCCGCCGCCGCCGCCGCCCGGGCCAGAATGACAGTGACCCCCCGCGTCCCCAGGGATGCCCCCGACACACAGACACACACGGAGGCTGCCGGGGTGATACACACGGAGGCACGGCGGGGAGGAGAAGACAAGGGCAGCGAGGACTGAGCAGACTGGGGACCCGGCCCCGCAGCCGGCCCCCGGCCGCCGCACACCCCGGGAAAACACCCGGCCTCCCTGACAGCCGCCCAGACCGCGGCGGCGCCGGCAGCCACCCCAGCCCAGACGCGGCCGGCCACGCGGACGGCGACCGCAGCCCCCTCCCCGCCCCGCCGCCCGCTCCCACCCCCAGACGATCGCCGACGCAGACACACAAATCACACACTCAGACACACACGCACACTGACAGCCGCGCACGCCTGCTCACACTTGGAGCCGCACGCCGTCCCCAGGCCCGGCGTGTGTGTGCGTGTGTGACACGCCGACATCTGTCTGCCTTCTCCCTTTCACCGGTACCCCACGTTTCCATCGTCACCCAGCAGCACCTCCAGGACTCCCGCCTCGGCGACCCAGCCCCAGCCCACCCCGGCCGGGCTTCTCCCGACAATCAGGGCGACAGGGTCGCCTTGGTTCTGGGGAGGTGCTCGGCCAGACTCCCTGCCTCAGCTCTGGACCCCACTTTTTAAAGGCAGGAGTCCTAGACCCAAGCCCTCGAAAGCCTCACCGCTGAAAACAGGTCATCCCCGGCCCCCCCTCCAAGTGCGACGGCCCAGCACGGCCGAAAGGGGCGAAGATGGGGGGAGCGGTGGGATGGGGGCGCGCTCTCCCAGCGGCGGGTGCGAGGGAAGGCAAGGTGGGGTGCGGTGCCCCCACGGCCCAAGTCCTCCTTCCCAAACCTCAACAGCCTCTTTCAGACCCCCCCCTCCCCGAGTTTCGCGGACGCCTACAGGGTACGCCCCCCTGTCCCTCGCTCCCAGGACCCCCACCCCAGTGCCCTCAGACCCCCCCCCCCGCAGACGCGGGACGCGCGGGCTCCCCGGGCCCCCGACTCACTGCTGGTTGGAGCTGTTCCAGTACACCGCATGCCGGTTCCCCAGCGCCCCCCCGGGCCCCTGGGCCAGCAGCGGCAGCAGCGGCGCGGGCACGAGCAGCAGCAGCAGCAGCAGCGGCGCCGCCATCCCCGGAGCCGCCGCCGCCGCCGCCCCCCGACTGAGCCCCGCGCTCCCGGCTTCTCGCCTCCCAGCTCCGCGCCGCCGCCGCCGCCGCCGCCGCCGCCGGCCCCCGAGCCGTAGGCCACGCCCCCAGCCCTTCCCTCCGCCCTCCGGGCGCGCCCCCGAAGCCCCGCCCCGGGCGCGCTCCCGCCTGGCCCCGCCCCGCTCGGGCCCCGAGCGCGCGGCGCTGGGGCGGTAGGGGACCGCGCTGCGCCCTCGGGCACCGGCGGCGCGCGCCTCGTCTCTCCCGCCTGCTCCTGAGTTCCCTGGAGAAGGATAGGGAGGCCCGGACAGGGAGTCGGTCTCGCGTGAGCACATTCTTCCCTGGGATGGGGTGGAGGAGGTTTGAAAAGAAGCGGGGGGAGGGGGGTCCGGGCCCAGTGGATAAGAAGAGCCAGACCCCCTCCTTTCTCAACAGTCTGCCTGTCTGCCCCCTCCGTGACCCTCCTCCCGTGTGCATGAGGAGGCGGTGGGCTCCAGAGTGTGGTGGAAAAGCCCTCCGTTGGCACCAAGGACTGGAGCCCCCGGCTGAGCACGAGGCTTGTTTCCCCTGGAGGGGGGTGGGGGGGGGCTCAGCCCCCGGGAACGTCAGCACCCGTGTGCTGGACGGGCCCCCGGAGAGCCAGCCGCAGCGAAGCAGCCTTTCCTGGGACCTCACTCCCACTCAGGAGGGGCTCCTCCCCGTGTGGCCCGCGGTGTCCCTAGGCTTTGTCACTGCTACTCTAGTGACGAGAGGGCAGAGAGCAGCACGGCCTGTGCTCCGGTGCGCTCCCCCACCTCTGTCATGCCCTCACCGTGACACGCGAGCACAGACATCACACACACACCTTCAGACCCCCAGAGGCAGAGAACTTAGAGACACAGCACTTGACACAGACATATCGACACACAGGTGCCCCTCCCCCCCAGACACACACGGGGTGGGGATGTCAGACGACTGGGATCTACAAACACAGGCACTCAGACACAGAGCCGTAGGAACACACCCTGTGGTGTGCAACACACATGCAACACCCAGTGACTCACATCCAAACCCACGTGCACCCTCTGACACACACAGCTCCTTGTTCTCCCTTCTTTGCCCAGGAAGTAGAGATTGAGGGGAAGGGTCTAGAATCCAGGCCTAGGGGATGTCCACCCCTGATCTCTTCTCTTTCAGAGAGGCGCAGGCTACGAGTGACCAGGAGAGCCAGGGCTCAGATGGCGCTCTGAGATCCCACGCCAACTGCTGGGCCCGGGGGAACAGGCGTGATGCTCTTTCCTTCTTGAGAAAGAAGGAGACAGAGCACAAGTGGGGGAGGGGCAGAGAGAGAGGGAGACACAGAATCCGAAGCAGATCCAGACTCCCAGCGGTCAGCACAGAGCCGGACGCGGGGCTCGAACTCACAAACCGTGAGATCAAGCCCTGAGCCAAAGCTGGACTCTCAACCGACGGAGCCACCCAGGTGGCCTTCCTTCTTTCCTTCTTGAGCGGGGACACACGCGCATCCTTCATCTGCTTATCCTTGGCAGGACAGGAGTCGTGACACAAGTCAGCCTCAGGTGCCGAGTTTGGGGGGGACAGTGCCACCCAGGATGGGCCCCATGCCAGCTGTGGCCAGGCAAGAGCAGGCCCTCTCCTGTCTCCACGCTCCTCCGCCCCCGGGAGATGTCCTCTCCTTTCTCAGGGGCCAGCAGTAAATTAGGCCCCCTGGGGTGGGAATGGGGGACTCTGCACACAGCTCTCTCTTCCCCCAGACTCTTCATCCCCAGGGAGATTTGCTTCACCCAGAGGATGCTAACGGGGCCTGCTCCTGGTGCCGCAGATCACAGGGATCTGCTGCCCTCCCCCAACCCCCTGCCCACGCGGGGAGGCCGTTCCCTGTAGGGCCCGCAGGCGCTGGGTGGTGGGCCAGGGGCGTGTGGAGTGGGGGAAGGGAGTTGCTCCTTTGGTCTAGGAGTTCGGATTTCATTGTGGAAGCCTTCCATTCCTGGATGTAGAATCTGGGTCCCACTTACGGATTTGGGCCCTTTTCTATAGGACCCGGGTGTCTCTGTTTAGACACTAGCACCCCCATACCCATCCTCCAATAATGACTGAGCTCCTTCTCTTTAGAACCAGGAGCCCTTTCTCTAGAATTTAAGCAGCTCTATCGGGTTTTTACGTTCTGAGACCGGCCCAGGCCTCTGTCCATGGGATCCGATGCTGTATCCAGACCTCTACTCAAATCAGGTGCTGGCTGATTGGAGAGTGTGTGTGTGTGTGTGTGTGTGTGTGTGTGTGTTAAATTTATTTATTTATTTGAGAGAGCGAGCAAGTGAGAGACCAAGCAGGAGAAGGGCAGAGAGAGGGGGAGAGAATCCCAAGCAGGCTTGTCAGTGCGGAGCCTGATGTGGGGCTGGATCCCATGAACCGTGAGACCACGGCCTGAGCTGAAACCGTCAGATACTCAACCCACTGAGCCACCCAGGAGCCCTTTGTGTGTTCTAGAATAAGCACCCTCTGTGCGGACTCAGTCCCGCAGGACTCAGATGTGCCCAGTCTTTAGGGTACTTCTCTTTGCAAGCAGTGCTTCGTGCACAAGAGTGCTGCTTCCTTCAACGGGAGGTGGCCCTGTGTGCTTCTCCATCTTGGGGAGGGACTTTCAGGTCAAAAGGTGATGTCACCCTTTACTAGCCCCTTGGGTGGCTCCTGTGTGCCATGCGCGAACTGCACAACGCTGTGGCAGTCCTGACATGGGAATCGACCTCCGGCCATGCTGCCAAGCCCTGCCCTTAGGCCTCCGGTCCTGGGGTCACGGGTTCCCTAGGGACTGGGTCTCTGCATGAGATCGGGGTCACTGGCCACATGCCCGGCGCCTCATCTGAAGCCTGCGAGGTCTCCGTTTATATCTGTGACTCAGACCTTTCTTGACCGTGACCCACAGCAAGCCGTAGATTTTGCAGCCCGGCACACACACGCACGCGCATACACATCGCGTTTAAGCAGAACAATAAGCTTCTTGAAACGATACTTAGCCTTGTGACGACAGAGGGTGTGCTCCGGTGTTTTTCTCGTGTTCTAATTTTAAGTGTTTTTTAAATAAAATAAAGTCCTGGTCAAGATCCTTAAAATGTATTCTTGATTTCCCCACCCCAAAGGGTCATGAGCTAGAGTTTGAGACAGTGGTGTCTAAGGCCTGGGCCCTGCACACATGTGTCTGTGGGGGGGGCCTCTCTTGGGATTGGGGTTCTCCCCAGGGGGCTGGGCCTCCCTTTAGGGCCCCAGCCCCCCTCCCCTTTCCTCCAGGCTCCGCCCCTCAGCCCTGCTGGTAGGCCTATGGCCGCCATCTGCTCTCCAGGGACACTGGATTCAGACCCCTGGGGGCTCTGAACGGCTGCCTCACTCCCACCCCCACGGGCCAGGGAAGCTGGGAGCAGAACAGGTCGGGGGCAGAGGGAGTAGCTGGGCAACGTGGCCCAAGGCGGCTCCCAGGATGCGGGGTGGCAACCACAGGGCTGAGCTGTGTTCAATAAATCATGGAGGCGGGGGCCTGGGGGAGGGGAGACCAGCGGGGAAGGGGGGGCTGTGGATAAATAATTCATTAGACAAATACACAAGGAGCCTGTGAGAGGGAGGACTGCGCACGTGTGTGTGCAGGGGGGCGGGGGGGCCGCTGCCTGCTCCAGACATGAAATATTCACGGGCTCCGCACCTTGCCCAGGGCCCACGCATGTGCCGGTGCGGGTGGGCTGCGGGCGTGGCTCAAACGTGGCAACCTGGGTGCCCGTGAGGAGGGCGCTGCATGTACCTTCTGACTTTTCCAAGTAGGTGTGTCCCATGGCTACGCGGCACTCAGTGTCCTGCGTGGACACGGAGCCCACAGGCGCATGCGGGCAGGGGACACGCAGCAGCGCCACTGCCGTGTGGTCCAGGACACGGGACATTAGGGTACAGGGCATGGAGGTGGGGGTGCAGTGACCTCTGATGCTAGCCACGCCCTGGCCCCTCTAATGAACCCAGCAAGCCCATGAAGGGGGAGGGCATCTCTGGGGCGGTACACGGGGGGTGCGTGTGAACCCCCTGAATGTGCCTCAAGAAAAGCTGAGACGGAGGCATGACGGCTTGGCAGTGAACAGGCCGGGCTTGGGGCGTCTGCTGGCTGGGTCAGTGCACTGTGTGACTCTTGATCTCTGTGTTGCACGGTCGAGTCCCACGTTGGGGGAAGAGATTTTTTTTAATTTTTTAATGTTTTTATTTATTTCTGAAAGAGAGAGAGATAGCGCAAGCAGGGGAGGGTCAGAAAGAGAGGGAGGCACAGAATTTGAAGTGGGCTCCAGGCTCTGAGTTGTCAGCACAGAGCCCGATGCGGGGCTCAAACCCATGAACTGTGAGATCATGACCTGAGCCAAAGTCAGACGCTCGACCGACTGAGCCACCCAGGTACCGATTGTTTGTTTGTTTTTTTTATGTTTATTTATTTTTGAGACAGAGAAAAAGAGGCTGAATGAGTGGGGGGAGGGGCGGGGGTGCAGAGACTCCAAGCGGGATCCACGCTGTCAGCAGACAGCCTGACACGGGGCTTGAACCCACAAACCATGAGGTCGTGACCTGAGCTGAAGTTGGATGCTCAACTGATTGAAAAAAATCTTAAAAAAAAAAAAATCTTTAAAAAAAAACAAACAGGATGGGCTTGGGTTTGAATTCCAATTTTATAGCTCACTGGCCCCTCTACTTGCCTAACTTCTCTGAGACCGGCCTTCATCTGTAACGTAGGTGGAATAATGCCCTTCCTCAAGGAGCTGGTTCTTAAGGGAATTAGGACCTGGGTCTGGGAAGCACTTAGCACCGTGCTGAGGCCCCATGAGTCGCTAGGTGTATGGGGGTCCTCATCACCATTATTTGTATTCATTTGTTTATTTTATTTTATTTTATTTTATTTAAAAAAATTTTTTTAATGTTTTATTTATTTCTAGGAGAGAGAGAGAGAGACAGCGTGAGCAGGGGAGGGTCAGAGAGAGAGGGAGTCACAGACTGAAACAGGCTCCAGGCTCTGAGCTGGCAGTCAGCACAGACCGATGCGGGGCTCGAACCCACGAACCGCGAGATCGTGACCTAAGCGAAAGTCGGACGCTTAACCGACTAAGCCACCCAGGCGCCCGTCATTTGTTTATTTTAAAAAATAGTTTATTTTTAATATTTTTAAACTTGTTTATTAGAGAGAGTGCGCATGCGTGCAAGCAAGTGGAAGAGGGGCAGGGAGAGAGGGAGAGAGAGAATCCCAAGCAGGCTCCATGCTGTCAGCTCGGAGCCCAATGTGGGGCTCCATCTCACGAACTGTGAGATCATGACCTGAGCCAAAATCAAGAGTTGGACACCCAACTGACTGAGCCACTCACCCAGGCACCCCTGAAGTATTTTAAGGAATCTTAGGGGCGCCTGGGTGGCTTAGTCGGTTAAGCGTCCGACTTTCGCTTAGGTCATGATCTCGCGGTTCGTGGGTTCGGGCCCCGCGTCGGGCTCTGTGCTGACTGCCAGCTCGGAGCCTGGAGCCTGTTTCAGTCTGTGACTCCCCCTCTCTCTGACCCTCCCCTGCTCATGCTGTCTCTCTCTCTCTCTCTCTCTCCTAGAAATAAAAAAAAAAAAAAAAAGAGGTTCGCCTGAGGCCTGCCCGCCAAGACTAGCCCCAGACTCCCTTTGCTGTTTGCTCTGTTCTCTAAGCTTCTCTAAAAGCTGTCACCGTGGCAGAGCTGGCCCAGGGCTTGGGGACAGGTGTGGGGTAGGAAACAATTAGATGCAATCAGTGAGGAGGGGAGGATTCAGCCAAAAATGGAAAGTCCCATCCTTGAAGGTGCAGAAGGAGGGGTCCCTGACCTTCTCAGGCCGCAGAGCCTCAACCCCTGAAACTCTCCCTAGACCCAGACTCTCTTCTCTTTCTTGCCACTGAACTTAGCTTTCGAGCAAGTGGCTGCAAGGAGACAGAGGGAGTGGGGTGGGGGTCTCTGAGCGGCATCATGGTGCCCCTGCCCCCCCCCATTGCCAGAACTCTAGCCCCCCCCCCCTTCTGCCTGGTGGTTGAGGCATCCCTGGTGAAGAGGGCTACGCCTGGGCAAGACCCAGGGGAGTGGCGCCCCAGGGTGGGTGGGGGGAGCCCAGGCCCCCGGAGGGCCAGGGTGGGGTAGCGGCCTCCTGGTAGGCTCCCGCATCCCCAGCCCTCTGGAGTCCCCTGGAAGGGACCGGCTCCCGGCAGGGAGAGCCAGCAGGCAGGTCTGAGCTGGCCTGCTCCTCCGCAGACAGGAGCGCGCGGTGGGGGAGGGGGCCTGAGGGCTCCGTGGGGAGCGGTGGTTGTAACCCCTGCGTCTCCTCCGGGGAGCCAGGGACAGCGGCCCCCGAGCTCGGGCAAACCCCGCCACAGCCCGGGCCCGGCCTTTGGCCTCCCTGGCCAGCCCGCCGCCCACGAGGTCTGGGCCCCCGAGTGTGAAGACGGTGCCTGCCCACTCCTTCCCCAAGAGCCAACGTGGCTCTCCGCTTCCCTCCCCTGGGCTGGGCAGGTTCGGGCTAATCTGCACAAGAGCTTCACGGCAAACATTGATCTGTAATGAAACCACAGTGTGTGTTCAGGAGCGGGGACTCCAGACACAGAGAGCTCCAGACAACACACTCTCACTCTCACACACACATACAGATGCAAAACACGCAGCCCCGGGAGGCCAAGCGGCTGGGCGCGGGCCCACAGGGTCACACGCGCACACAGGCACAGCCTCGGCTCTCCACGTCCCCTCCCTGCCTTAAACTTTGTCCTTCAAAGCCCACATCTTCTCTGAGGGCCGCGCCCCCAGCACTTTATTCGAGGCTGGGTAGTGGCATTTGCACTTGGCATTATAATTATTTGTTGGACAGTTTGTCTTCCTGAGTAATCTGAAGAATCCTTCAGGGAAGAGATCTGGTCTTACGCAAGCGCCTATCCCCGAGGGCGGCCTGGGGTTCTAACGTTAGCACGGGTAGGTAAGGGATTCACAAATCACTGCCTCGGCCAGGGGCACGGCCCTGTGTGGCCCCAAGCAGCACTCACGGTCACCAGTGCCCGCCGCTGGTCTCTGGCCCCCCCGCTTCTGGTCCCCTGCCCCCCCCCCAGCCACTGCCTCCAGGCTTCCTCAGAGGGCCCCCTCTCTGCCCCTGGGTTGGGAGGGCCGTGAATCTGACCTCCACCTGAGGGCTGGCAGGCAAGCTAAGGGTTAATGACACCTCATTAGTGTTTAATTGGAGGAAGGAAGCCGGCCCCTCGCTGGAAGCTGGCAGCCTAGTCCCAGCACCCTGCTGGGCGTGTGGGTGACCCGGCCCCAGCCCCCCAGCCCAGCCCCCAGCGCAGCCCCCCGCACCTCCGCACCATTTGTTTTGCCGGTTTGGTCTCCAGGCCGCAGAGACCAGCCCTCCCCAGCTGTCAGCAAGAGTGGGGGGGTGCCTCCTCTTTCTGTCTTGCTGGCTGCGCCCCCTCTCACCCGAGGGGACGCTGCCTGCTGGGGCGTGGGGGGGGCTGGAGAAAGAGAGAGATGCTGGAGCCGCTAAGGGATAAAGTCGGGATACAGACGGCGACAGGACTGGGACGTGGGGCTGTCTGTTCAATTTGACCTTAAATGAAGAGAATGCAAATGAGGGGCAGACGAGATGCGGAGCAGGAGCCTCTCAGAATTAGCATTCTGGGTGGCGGCGGCTCCGCTCGCGGGACCCCCGCGCGTGGCCAGCGATCCCCACCCCCACCCCCCACCCCGCCGGCCTGGGGCGAGGGGCACTGACCATTACTTTGAGTGAGAAAAAGGATCTCTAGAACGATAGGAGCTTGGCTGGGCCAGGGCCCCGGGCCCCGGGGTCCTGGGCTCCACCCCAGCCTCCCCGCCCCCAACCCAAACACCACACAAGCCTCCTCGGACTCCAGCAACGACCACTCTCCACGTTAAGGTCGGACGCACCGTCGGTTGCTATGGGGACCCCCTCCCCACGTCCAGGCCTGAACCAATGGGCATCACCGCTGATGACCTCAGGCTCCAGGCCCCAGATTCAATTGGCTGTTTGGAGGCCAGAGTGCCCCTCTCCTACTGCGTCAGCGCTGGGGATCCCCCGACGCCCCCAGCGCCCCGGGCCTGCTGAAAGGGCGCGCGGGGAGCTCACGATTTGATAAATGAATAATAAGTAAAGGAAGGGAGGAATCACTGAAAGAGAAGGAAAAAAAAAGGAACGGTGACATAAAGAGACCAAAACTTCAGGATTTAGCTTCCAGGGAAAGAGTGATTTGCAACCCCGGAAAGTCGGGGCAGGACCCGGGTCGCCGAGTCGCCCTCCCAGGCTCTCGGGAAGGCGATCCTGCGCGAGGCAAAGGGGACCAGACTTTTCCCATCTGCTCGGGAGCTACTCGGGCGGGCCCAGCGAAGCGAGGGCCCCACCCTGGGCCGTCTAGCGCCTCAGAGTTTAGGGGAGATCGGTGACGCCCCAAAACTCACAGGCCTGCCCAGCCTCCTGGGACCGCGCCCCGGAACCCGCCTCGAGGCCTTCTCCTGGGTCGGGCCCGGATCCGGAAGGCGGCCTAGCACCTTCAGCCCGTCTCCGCCCCGGGAGCCGACCTGGCCCTCGCTGTCCGCGGGGCGCGCCCCGGGGCAGGGCCCGGTGTGCGGAAAGGGTCTGCGGGTCAGTGCGCGACCGTCGCACAAATGCTCCCTGCGGGGAGCCGGGCAGCCACCTGCCACCCGCGCCTCCCGCACCCGCCTTCTCCCCGGGCGGTCCTCAGGGGGGGCAGGGGCTATTCGCTCGCCCCGCTGCGGCCTCTCTGGGGTGAGGAGGAGGGGGGCGGCGGGCCTCGGTTTCCGGGGCGACACCCTCCCAGCTCCCCATGACAGTAGAGACGCAACTCGAACCCAGAACCGGGAGACCGGGCCGTGGCTCATCCTCCAGTCAGACGCCACCCTCTCGGCGCCCAGTCCCTGGCGGTCTGGGCTGCGGGCACCAGCACCCAGAGACTGGGTGTCCTCGCGAGGGGCCTGGACGGGGGAGGGGGAGGACGGGGTCGGCTGGAGCCTGCTGCGACCCCGGGCCGCCCCCCCCCCATCCCGCAGGCAGAGCAGGGCGATCAGCCAGGGGGGGACCCGGGTCAGACCTGAGTGTGGGGGGGGAGGGCTTCGCGAGGTCCAGAGTGACGGCGTCGGTCAGTCTCCAGGCCCCCGCCCCCCCACCCCGCCCCGTGTTCACACGCCGCCTCTCGCTGCCGCAGCCTGGCCGAGCTAATCAGCATCCACCTATCGATGATCGCTGGCTGGGTGCCAGGCGGGCCGGCACGGTGCCAGGGGAGGCTGCGGGGCACCCCGGCGGTCGGGGCACAGCTGCGGGGGAAGGGGCGCCCCTTCCCCGGGCTGCACCCAGGATGCGTCCAGAAAGAGGACTCTGGTCGGGCTGGGGGGGGGGGGAGGTGGCGGATCATAGCCTCGCCTGCCAGAGGAGGGAGAGATGGTGTGGGGCTGAGAGCAGAGGGGGCCCTCCCTCCTCGGCCCCACCCCCTCCTCCTTATAAAAGCGAAGAACAAAGAAGCCGCTGGGGAAGGAAGCTTTGATCTGACCCCACCTTGGCAGTTCTAGGCCCGGCACCGCCCAGACTGCCCCTGGGGAGGGGGAGGGATGCCCAGCGCGCAGGGACCCAGGCGTTCTGAAGCTCGCGCTGTCTTTCCAGCAACCCTTGCTTTTGCCGCCGGCACCCTGCTCGGCGCTCCCCCCGCCTGGCCAGGGCCCCAGCCGGTGGGCTGTCAGGAGCATCTGCCCCTCCCCAGCACAGGAAGCCAGCTAGGGAGGCGGGAGAGGGTGCCAAGCTCTACAGCTGCCGCTGGCACCCACCCCACACCGCCCAGAGGGGTGCCCTGGGCCTGGACTGGGTGGCCTGGGCACAGCGTGCACGGAGGTCAGGCGGAACCAAGCTGAGAGCAGAGGCCGCAGGGAAGGGGCCAGAGGGCAGTGGGTGGGGGAGAACAGCATAAGGGGGTGGTTTATTGAGGGTTTAGTCCAGACACTTATAAAAATACAAACTGGCATGATGTCCAGCTTCGTGGCAAGTCCGTCTTCACAGAAGACAAGCGAATGGCCCCCTGGGGAGGGGGCGTGCTGCCCCAGGGAGATGGCCCCCAGGGGGCTGGGCACAGGCCGCGGGCTTGTCCCGGTCTGGCAATGCACCTGTCCCCAGGTCTTCCGTGTTGGCCCCCCGCAGGCTCAAGGGCTCCATCCCACCAAATCCCAGTCTTGCTGGGGGGATGGGCGGAGAACATCAAAGTAGCTGCCTGAGACCCTGTCCGTCCTGCCTGGGCTGGGGGTGGGGTTCAGGGCTGTGTGCAGCCCCGGCAGCAACTCTCCCGCTGGCGATGAGGGGCCAGCCCGACCTCTCCCAGCACTCTTCCACTGGTCTGGTTGGCTTGACGCCCGGGGCCCCTCCTCCGGGGAGTCCTATGAGGGCTCTGGCTCCTGGGGTAGCAGGGGGGGTCCACGTGGCTCAGAGAACTCGCAGCAGGCGCAAAATCGGGAGCAGCAACAGCAGCAAGAGACAGAGGGGGCTGGGAGCTCCTCCCCCTTGCCACCCGGAAGTGCCGCTCTCTCCAGGGCTTCCGACGGGATGTGCCGACTCAGACTCTGCAGGAGGGTGGCACTGATGGACCCTCCCTGCCCGCAGCCTCCTCACTGCCCTCCCGCTCCACTGCTCGCTCCAGTCCCAGTTCAGCCCGGGGCTTGAAGGATATTGCCCCGGAGATGCCATCCCTTGGCCTGGCATAAAGGGTTGCCAGGGGGCGCCTGGGGGGCTCAGGCAGTTGAGCATCTGACTTCGGCTCAGGTCATGATCTCACAGTTCGTGGGTTCGAGCCCCACGTCAGGCTCTGTGCTGACAGCTCAGAGCCTGGAGCTGCTTCAGATTCTGTGTCTCCCTCTCTCTCTGCCCCTCCCCCCCCACACTCTCTCAAAAATAAACAAACGTTAAAAAACATTTACAAAGGGGTACAGTGGAAGCTCCCACAAAGCAAAGGCCCCACCTGGCCCCCTCTGGGCCTGATGCCTCCAGAGTGTCCCCACTGCTCCCCTCACTCTCGGGGGCCCAGGGGCTGCCCGCCCTTCCCCCCCGCCCCCCACTTACGCCTCTCCTTGCAGCAGACAGACACCTGGAGTCTCAAGCAGCGGCCAGAACTCTCCGGGGTCGGCACCGCTGCGTGGGGGGATTGGGGGTAGAAGTTAGCACAGGCTGGTTTGCACACCTCAGACCCTTGCGATGCGTCTTCTGGCCACGTCCTGGCGCCAGACTCCCTGTGCTCCCATCATGGCCCCTTCCCTGGCTCCCCCGGCTCTCTCCTCCTCTTGGGAGCTCACCCTAGATGTCCCCCTGCTCAGGGTTAGACTCAGGCTGCCCGCCTGGCCTGAGCAAGGCCAGGTGCCCCTCCCCCGCCCGCCCCGGCCAGCACCGGTGTGCCCCTCCTCACTCACAGATGTAGTAGTAGGTTTCTCCAGGCAAGAACTCGAAGCCAAGGGAGAAGGGTGTGAAGCGCTGAATCTTCTCCGAGAATCGAACGGGGCCAAAGGGAGCGAAAGGGAGGGCACACTCCCAGCGCTTGAAGGCGCCCGGCGCCTGGGCCTCGCAGGCCTCATAGCCCGGCCGGTCCACCATGTACAAGGCAAACGTCTCGGGGCCGTCCGGGGGCCCCGGCCCTTCATAGTGCGGGCAGAAGATGTCTAGGTAATCGTTGAGGCCCAGCTCCACCGCAGCGTCTCCCCCAAGCAGCCTGCGGGCATAAGGCAGGTGTGGGCTGGAGGCGTGTGGGGGTCGGAGAGACCCCTCCCGGTGCTCCCCGCCAGCCCCTCCCCCACCCCACCCCAGGAGGGCCTGAGCGTCCCAGCCTGGCAACTCTGGGAGACAGTCAAAACATGGGTGGCGTCACCAGTTCGCAGGTCCTGAGAAGCTAAGGGACCGCAGCGCCCACGAGCACGTGGCTCGCACACAAGAAGGCCACGCAGCACGCCCTACGTTTTCAGGTGGGGGCTGCCGCCGGGCTCTGTAGCCCCAGACGAAGGGTCTGACACACATCACCTTGTACTTGACAGATGTCAGGTGGGGGCTGCCACAAAGCTGGGGCACACAAAGCTGGGGCACAGAGGGAGGGGCACGCAGCGCAGTCCCACCGTGGGGGGGGGGCGGGGGCACCAACCCCGTCGGCAGAAGCAGGGACAGGAAGACTGCTTTCACTAGTGGAGAGGATGCCACGGGCAGAGAGAAAGGAGGAGTGGGTGGGGGGACCTCCTTTTTTCCTCTGGGACAAGGAAATGTGGGACATGGAGCAGAGGCCCTTCCAGATGTTAACCAGTCTTTGGGGTACTCAGGACTCCCTTCTCTACTTCCTGGGAGCTGCCTGTGGGAGCCGGGGTGGGCGGGAGGGGCTGGGACAGGCTGGCTGCCACCTTCCCCCTTCCCCACCTCACTCAGTCCAGCCTCACTCAGAAAGGCCTCTAACTATCCCTCAGTGGAGGGGGGGGGGGGTCTAAGGATCACTGCATCCGGAGTTCTAACTGGGAATGCAGACTCCTGGGCTCAGCTCAGACCGGCTAGAACATGAGCTGGGCCTTGGTGGGACTTGTTCCAGAATGTCCCTAGTGCCTAGAAAAGTGTCTTGTCCAAACGCTCAATAAATACTTGTAGACTGAATGAATGAGCCAGAAACCTCAGGGTTGGGGGCTAGGAACCTGAATTTCTAACAAGTTCTTCAAGTGATTCAGAGGCGCTGGTCTGGAACAGAGAGGGGCCCTGGGGACTGGAGGACAATAGTTGTTATCACGTGGTGCCGATATCGCCTCGGCTTGTGGGGGGCTGCCCTCCCCGGGGGTCTTCGGGCTGAAGAGGCCAGAGCCCAGGTCTTATCTCTACACCCCGCAGCCCAGCACACGCCCTGGTACACGGCACACCGCGGAGTGCCTGTTAGTGAGTGAGCAAATGCACAGAGTCACAGATCGTCTCGAGTATCAGAAAGGCAAACAGATGGAGAAAGCAGAGAGAGGCACAGAGAACTGGGGAGGAAGATGAAAACACTCGAAAATACCGAAGTTCAAAGGCTCGGGGGAAAGAAATAATAATTTTTGTCTGTACAGCCTACACTTCCTTCGCACACGTGACCTCAGCCAGCCAGCTCTATTTCCCAGGATACCAGGTATTATGAGCCCATTTTACAGATGAGATAACTGAGGTTAGGGAGGTCAACCCACTTGCCCAAAGGTGATTCAGCTGGAAGGGCAGGGCCGGGACTGGACAGAAATAGAAGGGCGGACAGTGAGGGAGATGAAAGCAGAGATAGCGAAAGACAGGAGGAGACCGAGCAAGCGCCCGAGGGGAGGCCCAGCAAGCCGGAGCCTAAACCGCGCTGTTCCGCGGGAGTAAAGCCCCCTCCCGCCCGCCCCGGCTCGGGCCGCAGGGCGGGGGAGGGAAACCAGCGGGAGTGAGGCCACAAGCCAGGGGGCGGGGCTCGGGGCGCAGGCCGTGGCCCCCCGGCTCCCGGTCCCGCCGTCCGCCTGCGGAGCGGGGGTCCTCCGCCCGCCCCCCCCGCACGTGCGGGCGGGGGGAGCCCGGGCGCGCCTCGCCCCTCCCCTCCCCCTCCCCCGCCGGCTCAAACAAAGGAGCCCCGGCGCGCGGCCGGCGCGGGCGGCGCCGCGCACGGAGCGCGAGCGGGGCGCGCGGCCGGCCGGGAGCGCGCAGGCCCGGCCGCCGCCGCGGGGCCCGGCGCGGCTACCTGGGGTTGCTGGAGTTCCAGTAGACGGCGTGGCGGAGGCCGGAGCCCCCCCGCAGCGGGCAGCCGAGGAGCGCGGCCCACAGGACAGCGCGCAGCAGGGGCAGCAGCCGCATCGCCCCCGGGGCCGCTCTGGTCGGGCCCGGCCGGTCTCGGCCCGCTGGGCTGCCGCGGCGAGAAAGGTACAAAGTGGAGGTGGGAGGGGGGGTGCGGGGCGGGGGGCGGGGTGCGGAGACTCGCGGGCCACGCCCCCGGGTAACTTTCCACCAATGGGGGCGCGCCCCCGCCTCCCCTCTCGGAGCCAACTCGGGTTAACTCTCTGGGCGCCGAGGCGCGCGCCGCGGCGCGAGGGGCCGGGAGGGGCGCCGTGCGGCGGCGTCTGGGAGTCCGTTTTGGGGGGTCGCGTCTAGGGTGTCTGCGTTCGTACCGGGTAGGAGGCCTTATTGCAGATTTGGGCGGTTCGGAGAGGAGCGCGCGCCCTGCGGCCGGCAGGGGGGAAATGCGAGGCAGCGGCGGGGATCCCTGAAGCCCGTCGGGCTCTGCGTGAGAACGTCGCCCGTTCTTCTTTGCCCGTCGGGGGACAGCGCGAGTGTCGGGGGGCCGGGCCGCCTCCTGGGGTTCCGCCCAGCCCCACGCCCCCTTACAGAGTCCCAGCGGGGAGCTCGTGCCCCCCTCGGGCTGCGCGCCGGCCCCTTCCCGCCCCACACCTCCGTTCTGGGCTGGGGGCCCACGCGGCCCCATTCCCGAAGACGAAAGAATGAGGCGGACTGCGGCCTATACAATGCACCTTTGTTCCCCAGCCCTCAGGTGGGGCGACGGGGGCGGGGAGGAGGCAGGTGCACGGCCGGGGATCGTGGGAGCCGCCGCCCCGCTCCGCCCCGGCCCCGGGGCGCTGAGAACACCGCCAGAGCCACTTTTCCCAGCCACCGGGCAGAGGGTGGGGACGAACTGGCCGCCTGTGGGGGCCGCGCAGACCCGGGGGCGAGGCCTCGGCGACTGGGGGGTGGCCCGGGGTTTTACAGCCCCTGTGGTACTGGATGGCGTGCAGTCATCCCAGACCGGGCAGACACCAGCCGCGAGCATCCTGGGGACACGCGCCGAGCTGGCGGGGACTCGCCCTCCCTGGCCCGCCTTCGACCGAGGCGGCAGCGTCTCCTGGCGGTCGGGCCTGGAACCGCATCAGGGGCGACCGGGCCTTCCCAGAGCCAACAAACTCCGAGGCGCGCTGCCCAGACCTCACGTTTATTGCACCAGAGCGGGGACAGGCTGTGTGCACCTCCCTCAGCCCAGCCCAGCGCCCAGCGCCTCCCCTCTCCAGCTGCCACAGCGTGAGCGGGTCCCTAGGGTGCTGCTTGGTGGCCCGCGGCTGTGTCTGGAGTCTTGGGGGGGGTGGCGAGGGGAGCGAGTCCAGGCTCCGGCTCCTTGGGTCATGGAGGAGGACTCCAGGGACCGGTCGCCTCTTGAAGTCCTAGGTCCGGGTTTCAGGCCACGGAACCTCAGCAGGGGTCAGAGGTAGAGCGAGGACGCTGCTGGGGGCGGCGGCGCAGGCCTGGGGTGCCAGAAGCCAAGTGAAGAGGTCAGAGGCGCCCTTTCCCCAGACCATTCACGCCTCCCGCCCACCCTCCGTGGCCCTGCTCGCCTACCTGGACGGGACCACTACGGGTTGGGTTCCAGCTCCTGGGCCAGGCAGGTCACCCGAAGGGCGCCGGCCCTGGGGGTTGGCAGGCAGTGGCTTCCTCGGGGGTGGAGGCTTGTTGGGCCCCTGAGAGCCAGAGAGAGAGAGGGACAGAGAGCCAGAGAGAGACAGAGAGAGAGAAGGCAGGAGGCTGGCTTGGGAGGGTGTCGTGGCGCCCACCCGGTTGCTGGGGACACCAGCTTGTGGGGCCGGCTTCAGGGGTCACCTTTGTCTCCAGACAAACCTGTCACCAGTAAAGGGCACCAGCGGATGTGCCGTCAGGCACAGAGGGGGCATCTCACCATGGCCACCTCTCCCAGGGCTCCTGGCACACAGCCCTGGGCAGGGGAGAGGCTGTGCCCTTCTCTCCCCCCACTGTTACCTTCGGGTGCCTCACCACCGGGTCAGCGGGCAGAGGGCGAGTGGGGGGAGTGGGCCGGTCGGCCAGCTCAGCCTGAACAGAGAGAGGGGCAGCGCGGTGAGAGCACAGGCAGGGCCAAGGGGCAGGCAGGGGTTCTCTCGAGGGGTTCAGCTCCACATGCAGAGGCAGCCAGAGGGCAGGAGAGGAGGGGGGCACGTGCGCAGGGCCTGGGTGCCCGCTGGCGCAAACCTCAGGGGAGGAAGGGATGGCCCAGGGGTGTCCCCCGGCCAGCTGCAGTTCTGCCACTGACCACCAGGTGGTGGTAGAGACCAAGGCAGGAGGCTCACCCTTTGCTGATTCTGGGGCTCAGGGTGTCTGAAGGCTGAGGGGCACCCCAGCCCCCTAATGAAGAGCGCCACTGGCAGGGGACAAGGGTGAGAGCTGCAGCTGGGCACCAAGCCCCCCACCTGCCCTGGGCCAGGCTGGGGCCTGGCCTGGAGTTACCTGGAGTCTCTTGGGCACAGGGTCAGGAGGCAGCGGCCTGGAGGGGGGGGCCGGGAAGCCAAGAGCACTGGCCTGCTGAGAGAGCAGGAGGAGCGGACAGGCAGGGTGGGGGCGGGCGGGCAGGCGGTGGGCACAGAGACAGGTGTGGGCAGAGAGGGGTCAGTGCCACAGAGGGGCAGCCGGGGCCCCAGAGGCAGTGGGGGCTGTGCATGCTGTTACTCAGTTGCGTGCAGAAGGGGTGCCGAGTGGTGGAGCGAGCATGCAGACCCCCCCACACACACACACCCCTGCCGTCGCCTCCAGGGGACTCAGGGGGCACTCACCAGCCCTTCTACACACGGTGACCTGGGCCTCGTCAGGTCGTGGCACACCGAGGGCCCTCTCTGGGCAGCACCACCCCTTGCCCTCCAGGGACCCCTGCTGGGAGCACCCGCAGACCCACCTCTCACGGCCACCAGCCTGGCCAGCTCGGAGAGCTCAGCAGCCCCTCCTCTGGGTGACTGCCCCGCCCACTCCAGGCCGGACTCCCCTGCTGGGCCTGCCTCCCCCGACCCACGCCCCTGACTCCAGGGCCTTCAGCACCCCTGCCCCAGGGCCCAGGGCCCGCGCTGGATGCCCGTACAAGGTGGGGCCTCTCTCCTCTGGTATCCGCGACTCACCTTGGCGCCTGGCGTCAGCAGGGCCCTCTGCGGGGGTCCCGGGCGTTCTGGGGGACCGCACTGGGCTGCTCTGCATGTGGAGAAAAGGGGACAGAGAGCCCAGCCTCAGACCACGCTCTCCACCCACACACGCCCCTTGAGTGGGGTTGACACCGTGCAGCCCCTTGCACAGCGGCCTGTGTGTGGTTTAGCCCGGTCAGAAGTGGGGAGGCGGGTGGGGGGTGATGAGCCCGAAGGAGGGCCCCACTTAGCACAGGGGCTCCCCAGCTGCCCTCTGTGGGTCTCCGTGTGAGGTGAAGAGTTACGGGGCACAAGCAGGGAAGGGAGGCATGGGGGGTGGCCCTAGGACCTGGGGATCGAAGCCGGTGTGGGGGCTGCAGGCGGGGGGGGGAACAGGCCCCCCCCCGGCCGCTGTGCCCAGCAGGGCTGTGGAGGGTGCAGCAGCAGCAACCCGGTACCTGTACTGGCAGCTGGGTCCTTTGAGCTGACAGAGCCGCTGGCGCAGGCGGCCGCGGTGCCAGTAGCTGGCGCCAAGGAGCATCAGGGCCACCAGCAGCAGGAGGCTGAGGAGCAGCCCTGTGGTCAGGGAGCTGGCTGCTGGGGGGCGGGGGGGGCGGTGTGAAGGTGGGCGGGGCTCGGGCCCTACACCCAGGAGGGGGTGGCAGGTGGGGAGGGAGGTAAGGTGATAGAGAACCTGAAGGGGTCAGGAAAAGGGAGGGGGTAAGGAAGCCACGGTGCCCGCCCCCCGCCCCTCCCCCTGCTACCTCTGATGCGGTTGGCACAGTCTGGGGGCACCCAGCCCTCCTCGCAGTGGCAGTGTCCTTTGCTGTCACAGACCTAGGGGTGCAGGTTAAGTAATGAGGGGCTCTACCCTCTGGGGCTGCAGTCCCCCGTCCCAGCTTTTCAGAGCTCCTAAGTGCACAACCGGAAGGGACGCTGGGGTGACCGGGTGGAGAGAGGGGCTGTTTATCCACGCAGACAAGACGAAGTCCGAGGAACATGCCGGGCCCTGTCCCAGGGGCTCCCATATCCTCTCACGCACCCAGGAAGTGGGTACTGTTACTACACCCGCTGGATAGCTGAGGAAGCTGAGCTCAGACAGGTTAATAATCTGCCCGAGGTCACACAGCCAGGAAGCAGCGGAGCAAGGACCGGAAGCTAGGTGTGTGTGCGTTTCCCACGTCCGTTATTGTTTTCGTCCCCGGAGGCTGCCTGCTGCCCTCCCGTCTCGCCCGTGCCAGCTCACCCCGTGCCCATGGCATTTGCTTCGACATTCCTGCGCTCCCAGGAGACCCACGGGCTGGCATTGATGGTCGATGCACACCTGGCCGGCGGGGAAGGACACGGATTGGGTTCTCACGAAGCTTTACTGGCCCTGGGAGGTCAGCGTGGCTGAGCGGCGGATGGAGAAACCCAGGCCCACAGGAGGACAGGACTTTGCTCAGGCCAAACGAAGACCCTGAACCCCCCTCAGAGTCTGTGCCTTTTCCCCGGGCCCGGGGGAGGGGGGTGGGGACAGTGAGGCCTGGGTGCTGCTCGCGGTGGTCCGGACACCCCACCCCTCCCAGTGTTGCCCGCGCGGACTGCTCACCAGGTCGGGACCACAGGCTGTGCCGGGCAGGGTCAGGAGCGGCTGGGCCACGTCGTTGCCGAGGTCCAGGTGGGCCCGGCTGCAGTTCTGCCTGAGCCGCGTCCCGTTGGCTTCCAGCGTCTCCCAGTGCAGATCCCGGGCCTCGCCCAGCAGCGGCTGGGCCCTGCCCCCCTGGCACTGGAGCTGCCCGCACACGGCGTCTCTGAGGCAGGAGGAGGTGGGGGTCAGCCCAGGGCTCCCTTGGACCCAGAGGAGAATCCAGGTTTCCTCACTCACTTGGGGGCGCAGGGCAGGTAGCCCCCATCAGGGCTGCGCCCACAGTTCCCGAAGGCGTCCCCTCTCGTGTTGGCCGTACGAAGGCAGAGCGGCGTGGCGGGCTGGGCCCCGGGTCCCCAGAGAGCCTGGCACTGCCGGGCGTAGGAGGCGCAGCGGCCCTGCACGCACACGGCCTGGCCGCCTGCGCACGGCTCGCCGTCCCCCAGGCTCACGTCGGGAGGGCACTGGGGGCTGTCGCCTGAGCAGAGCTCCGCCAGGTCGCAGTCCCCTCTGGCGGGGCGGCACTGCCAGCCGGCGGGGCGCAGCTGTGGGGGTGGGGGGGGGCGTCAGAGTGGGCACCGGGCGGCTCCGGCCAGGCCCCGGGAGTCGCCGCGACCATTCCTGCCGGGCCCCCGGCAGGTGACCCACCTGGCAGTTCTGACAACAGAGCCCGCCGGACGCACAGTGCGCCCCGGGCCTCAGCTGGCAGGTGAAGTAGTCGCAGCAGGGGTCGGTGCACTCCTGCGGGCACAGGGGCTGCGTTGGGCAGGGCGGGGGGGGGGCCAAGAGCCCCCTCCTCCCCTCTGCCCCAGCTGCCGAGAGCCCAGCAATGCATGCGTGTCCCTGCAGGCAGGGAGGGGTGCGGAGAGGTGGGTGGTCCCTTTAGGGCCACAGAGGGGCTCCAGAGGCTCAGAGCTGGGAAATGAGCCAGGGTGAGGGCACAGAAGTGAGCGGGTAGGGGCTCACATCCGGGAAGCCGCAGTCACACTGCTCCCCCGGCTCCACCAACATGTTCCCGCACACGGTGGCCATGGACGGCAGGCTGTGCAGCCGCTCGAAGAGGCAGCCGCCCAGCCCCCCCAGGAGGGCCCGCTCCAGGGCCCGACGGCTGCAGTTGCTGAAGTTGAGGCCTGGCAGGAAGCTGGGATGGTGACAGGAGAGGTTGGGGCTGCGGCCACCCCCCCGCCCCCATCCTGCCCCCCCCATCCTGCCCCCCCCCCCCCCCCTCCTGCAGCCACTCACTCCGTGGAGGCCTCCATGATGCAGCTCTTGGCCGGGGCTGGGCCCGGGCAGGGGCAGCTGCTCCCAGGCAGGTCGTGGGCCAGGCCCAGGCTGTGGCCCAGCTCGTGAGCTATGGAGGACGCGACTCCCAGGACGCTGCTGGAGTGGTCCTGGCAGTGGGGAGGGGGCACCCCAGGTCCAGCACCAGCCCCCGCCGCTCCTGTCTTGCCCTCCTCTGACGCCCCGGGCACCCGGCCTCCCTCCTGCACTGCCTCTGAAGCAGGAGAGCCCGGGCCTGGGTGGCGGGGAGGCTGGGGCCGCGCTCAGCGCCGGTGCTGCCCCTCGCTGCCCCTCGCTGCCCCTCGCTGCGTAGCCCCGGGCACTCACGCCTCAGCTCCCCCTCCGCCCCTTCGAGGCGCCCCCCCCCCCCGTGAAGACAGGTAAACGGAAGCGCTGGCCCCAGGTAACGGTGCCAGGATGGCAGAGGCCATGCCACACAGCCCCCCACCCCCACCCCCGGTCCCCGTGCCCACGGCTTTGGGGCGGGTAAGTCTGTGAAGAAGGGAACGGGGAGGGACCCGAGACAGCTCACCATGTTCACACCCCCTGAGAGGTCGGGAGAGCAGATGGAGTTCTGGACGGCCGTGCCCACGGCGGGCCCGGAGAAGGACGTGGCGCTGCGGGGTTGCAGGGCACGGGTCAGGCCGGCGCTGGGGGCCCGCGGGCAGGGAGCCGGGGTGCGCCGCGGGCTGGGCCGGGGCTCTTACGTCACGAGCTGGGCGCTGTCGTGGGCCAGCCGAGGCAGCAGGTCCTGGCGCCGCCAGCGGAGGAAGTTGTGTAACGTGAGGCCTGGGTCCTGGCTTATCTCCTCCAGGTCACGCTGGCTCCAGGCCTCCAGGCCCACCAGCGCCACCCGCACATTTAGGGGCCGGAAGAACTGAAAAAGAACGGGGCTCAGGAGAGGGGTCCCCGAGGCCAGAGGACCATCCGGCTGCTCGCGGCACTGGGCCTGGCACTCACGGTGTCCAGGAGGAAGGCCACCTGCAGCATGCGGCTCAGCAGATGCTGGAAGTCCGGGTACTTCTGGACCTGCGGCTCAAGGGAAATGACCATGAAAAGTGGGGGGGGGGCGGGGGGGGAGGCGAGACACACAGCGCCCAGCAAGCTCACCTCAGAATGATCGGCTACAAGCACCAGCTCAATAACCTTGGTCTCTGCCACTACGTCCCGCCTCCGCTGAGGACAAGAAGGCGCGTCAGGCGTCAGGCGGGGCCGCACGGGGCTGCCCAGGCTGTGTCCACTCCCGCCCTGTGGGCTCCAGTGGAGGAGAGCAGGGAGCCCATTTTACAGACGAACCACTGAGAGCCTGAGAGGCCAGGGACTTGCCCAAGGTGGACTGAGAAGTACGTCATGAAGCAAGGAGTAGAGCCTTGTTCTTCCGGCTCCAAAGTCAGTACTTCTTCCAAATTAAAATAATAATAATAATAATAATAATAATAATAATAATAATAGGGGTGCCCGGCTGGACCCTTCAGATGAGCTACTCTTGATCTTGGGGTCCTGGATCTGAGCCCCGCACTGAGTACAGAGATTACTAAAACAATAAACAGGGGGCGCCTGGGGGGCTCAGTCAGTTAAACGCCTGACTTTGGCTCAGGTCGTGATCTCACGTTCGTGGGTTCCAGCCCCGCATCGGGCTCTGTGCTGACAGCTCAGAGCCTGGAGCTGCTTTAGATTCTGTGTCTCCCTCTCTCTCTGCCCCTCCCCCTGCTCACACTCTGTCTCTCTCTCTCTCAAAAATAAGCATTAAAAAACACAATAAACTTTAACAAATAAATAAAAAATAATAGCCAACGCTGTCATATATATTTACTCATCTCAGGCACAGTTGTAAGCACTGGATAGATACTTGAAGGACGGATGGATAGATACAGACTTGTTTAATCTCCACAGTAACTCTAGCAAGTAAGTCTTATTATCCCCAACTTATAAATTAGGAAACTGGATTTGTACTGCTCTCTGCCTGGTAACTGTGTGAGGTCTGGAGTCAGGTGAGAGCTCTCCGCATACGGAGCACATGACCCATGAGGAGTCCGAGTCAGGTACCTGCGTCTGAACCCTGGGTATGTTGCTCAGTAGTTGAATGGCTCTGGGCAAGTCCCTAACCTCTGTCTCCCTCTCTGAGCTGCTTCCCCAGCTAAGCTGGAGCTACCACAGCCCGAATCTCCCCGGGGTGCCGGAGGAGGAGAGATTACATTCACACAGGGCCCGACCCAGGATGACAGCTCCTCAGAAGGTACTGGAAACAAAGGGCTCAGAGGGTCTGGGGCCTGGCCCTCGGGGACCACAGAAGCCCTGCCTCTTGCTGGCCATCCTTACCCGACGACTGCGCGCGCGGCTGCGATGCTGGCCTCGGGTCCGCCCCTGGGGAGCCTGAGCGGGCACGGATGCACCCCAGCTCAGCGCACAGGTGCGGCCTGACGGGAGGAGGTCTTGGGTCCGGGAGATGATGGGGGTGGCCTGAAGGTCCCCGGGCCCCAGCTCGAAGGTGTAGCTTCTCTCTGGGGACAGGACCGCCAAGCCCCTGGGAAGACACAGGCATTCGGAAGCCCTCTCAGCCTGATGCGTCCTGCAGCCTCGCCCTCGCCACCCCGCGGGGGCTCCCTCGGTACCTGAGCCCCGAGCAGGTGCACACAGACACCCAGGAGCCCGTGCAACCCTGCACCGCTCCCTGGTAGCAGCAGCTCTCCTAGGGCAGAGAAACGTCAGTGCTCCCGTGAAGGCTGGGCCAGGGCTTGCGCCCGGGGGGCTGGTGCCTTGCCCTCCCATGCCTCATAGGGACGGAGCCCCCCAGCTGGCCGCCTCTGCCGCCCTTGGCCAGAAACAGGGCACTAGACTCACCAGAGAGTGTCCCTCGCTGACCACGCGGGTGCCGTCAGGCCGGTACCACGTCAGGCTGGGGCGGCCTGGGTCTGGCCCCCTATGGGGTGAAGAAAAAGGGAGGCGGTGACAGTTGTCTCCCAGGTGCTAAGGTGACATCTTGAGGTCCAGAGGTGGCAGAGGGGTGGCTGGGGGCCAGGCTCCTCCTGTCCCCAAGGCCTCAGGGTAGAGTGGTCAGGCCAAACTCTGCCAGGCTATCTGGGTCCTAATCTGGTTTTTACCACACACTAGCTGTGTGACTTCGGGCAGGTTAGTTAACCTCTCTGAAGGGCCGCCTGGGTGGCCCAGTCGGTGAAGCGTCCGACTTCAGCTCAGGTCATGATCTCACGGTTCGTGGGTTCTAGCCCCACATCAGGCTGTGTGCTGACAGCTCAGAGCCTGGAACCTGTTTCAGATTCTGTGTCTCCCTCTCTCTCTGACCTTCCCCTGCTCACGCTGTCTCTCTCTCTCAAAAATAAATAAAATATTAAAAAAAAACCAAACCTCTCTGTGCCTTGACTTCTTCACATATAAAATGAAGACTGTGATACATAATAGTATTTCTTACAGGTTGTTACAAGGATTAAAAGAGTTCAGGCACTTAGTAAACGTGACGTGTGGTTTTAGCCGTGCTAGTACCCTTTCCACCATCATTGTTACCTAGTCCGCAGCAGCTCCAGGATGTACCTCTCACTGTCCAGTTCCAATTTGATCCGGAAAGCCTCAGGCAGATTGGTCTGCGGGCATCAGAGGGCATGTCACCTCCCCAGGCCTGCCCGAAATTCCTACCCTCTCTAACCAGAAAACCTCAGGCCCTTAGGAGAGTACCAACGATTAGATCACTGTGGGGGGGGGGGTGTCCCGAGGGAGGGGCCAGGAAGCCCTGCCCGGCCTGGGGCATTGTTCTGGGGGGCTGTGTGGGGAGGTCAAGGAAGGTATCTGAGCCGCCCCTTCTCGGCTTCCTGCCCAGAGAGGAAGCATCACGGAGACCTAGTGCACGCCCCAGCCCTTCCTCTGACTCAGCATTGGAATTGGGGAGGGGGGGTGCTTGGTGAGTACCTGACCTTCTCCAAGTCTCCCCTCCCCCCCCCCCCACTGAGAAAACCCACAGAATGAAACCCAGAAGGCAAGTCTGGCCTCATGGAGGCCAGGCTATTTCCCCAGGAGATAGATGGGTTGGGTGGGGCTGAGGCTGGCAGATGTGTGTTGGGGGAGAGGGGATAAGTGAAGCCAGGTGCTGGGGTGCGGCCGGAGCAGCAGCCAGAGCTGGGGGGGCGCGTGCTGTGCTGAGGTCCACTCACCTGCTTCCCAGCCAGGCTGTGCCTTGAGAGGCTGCTTATGAGTCTGTACTTGAAGGGAGAGGGGGCTTACCTGGACCATCTCCGCTAGGCTGAATGTGGGGCTGTCCCGAAGGATCTGGGGCTCTGAGTGTCCACCAGGGTCCCTCTCCGGCCTTGCCTGCCCCTCTGCAGGGCCACCTTCAGGGTCCCCGGGACACCCCGAGAGAGTGTGAGTGAGCCAGCCTCCCCGGCTGGGCAGTGGGCACTCAGGGCCCTTCTCTCGGCCGGAAGGACTCCTGCACTGCATTCTGGGAATTAAAGGAGCAAGCCCCAGGAGAGGGGCTTCTCTGGGCTCCTCACTTCCACCCCTACCCCACCTGCCTGTCCCCAGGGAAAGTTCAGCTTGCCCCACCTGGGGTCCCTCCCTGTCCCCCCAGGCGGATCCCAGGCTCTCACGGCAGCCCCCTTCCCACTCCCTCCCAATCACTCCCCCAGGAACGCCCCCTCTCAGGCCTGGGCGAAGGCTTGCGGCCCGGTGCCCACTCACCCCTCCCCTTTCCTCACATGGAGCTGGGGGAACGCCCATCTCTGGGTGCGCAGTGCAAACACCCCTCCCTAAACACCCTCAGACCCACCAGGCACACCCGCTGGCCACAGCTCAGCTCCTCCCCGAGCCCCCCACCCCCGTGCCCACAATGGCCCTGTCCCCTGCGCACAGCCCACCTCCGCCTGCCACCACCCCCCCCGCCCCCGCGGGAGACGCAGCGGGAAGTGAAAGTTCCTGGAGGAGTTGTGTCAGCCTCTTTCCAGGCCGAGTCCCCCTCCCCAGGCTCCCAGGCTCCTCCCGCCAGCTCCGCCAGGCTTCTGGCGGCAACATCACCGGGGTGAGGGGCGCCGTGGCCGCCCGCGGCCCGGGATGGAGAAGAATCCTCTTCGCCAAGCCCTACGGGCCGTGCCCACTCGGCGCCCCGGCACCGGGGGGAATGGTCAGCTAGGCCCCAGAGGAGCGAAGACGTCAGTCCCGAGGAGCAGCGACCGCCTCCCACCATCCCGAGGGGGCGCTGGGCCGGGGCCCTTCGGTGCCGGGCGCCGGAGCCTGCGAGTGGCCGCGGGGACGGCGCACAGGATGACCGCGCAGGGGCCTGGCATCTCCCTCCTCCTCTCCCCACTCCACCGCCCGGTCGCCTGGCCCTCGGGCCAGGACAGCGGAGCAGGGCGGGCCGCGCCCCGGCTGGGGGTCTCCCCGGGTCTCCGGCGGACCCCAGTGCCTCCCGACTTCCCGGTGCCTTCTCGCAGTCCGACCCCCGCCCGCTGCGGGCCGGGCACTCACCTAGATCTGGGAGCGGCCGGGAGGACGGGGGGCTGCCTGCGCCCAGGAGCCCCAGGGCCCAGAGCAGCGCCAGCCGCATGGCAGCGGCGCCCGGGGCCGGGCGAGGGCAGCAGGTGCTGGGCCGCGCGCCGAGGAGCCGCGGCCGCCGGGTCTGCCTGGCGCACCCCGCCGCGCCGCGCCGCCACCAGGCCCCGCCCCGCCCCGCCCCCGCCCGGGGCGTGGCGGGCCCGCCCCCGCCCCCGGGGCCCCGGCCCCGCCCCCGCCCGCGCCGCCTCAGCCCCGCCGCGCCCCCGCCGCTGCGCGCGGTGGGAGCCGGACGCGGCCCGGTGCGACCGGCCTGGGCGGCGCGCCTCCCCCCGGTGCGGGGCCCGGCCCCTTCCTAGCAGCTGGGCTGCCCTCCCGCGGCCCGTGTGCGGCCCGGCCCTGCGGGATCCGGCGGCCGGGTCGGACCCCAGGGAAGCGCGGGCGTCGGGACTGCTCGGGCTTTTATTAACCGCGGGGGAGCGGGGGGAGGCGGGGGCAGAGGCAGGCGCCCCGTCACTCGGCGTACGTGGCGTCGTCGTCGCTGTCGCTGTAGGCGGAGGAGGAGAGCTCCTCGCGCGGGGTGCAGGCCGGGCACCGCCGCCGCACGTCGTCCCAGCACGAGCGGCAGTACACGGCCGCGCAGTCCGGCGTCGGGCACACGTAGGCCCGCGGCGTCTCGGGCGCCTGGCACACCACGCAGCGGCGGCGCAGCCAGCGGCGCAGGAGCGGGCAGCGGCGGTGCAGGGCGTCGGCCAGGTGGTGGCGCTGCCGGGAGCCAGGGGGGAAGAAGGGGTGCGGGGAGGGGGGCCTGGAGGCCAAGGTCGCCACGCAAGTGGGTCTAGGGAGGGAGCTGCCCTCCCCCGCTCGGTGATGGGTGGTGGAGACCGGGGGATGCAGCTTCCACTCCCCCAGCCGGGAACCACCACCTGGTCTGTTCTGGGCGGAGGAGGGAGTCGGGCACTAGGATCATTACCCCTGTGTTCTCCGCTTCGCAGACCAGCAAGGGGAGTCTCCGAAGGGTTAAGTGAGTTCCCAAAGGCGCAGATAGTAAAGGGTCAAACCTGGCTGGACCCAGGTGCCCTGATTCCAGATTACAAGGCTGCTTCAGAGGCTCCCACCTCCCTGGGCACAGTTACCAGGAAGCCTCTACAGGCCACCTTATCAGCCCAGTCTTTGCTCAAGAAACTGCGTCAGACAAAGGCAGAATTCCTGGCCTTGGCCTTCAAAGCCTTCCACACTCTGGTCCCTTTCCAGCCTCTGCTGTGACACCCCCCAACCTGAATGTTGCATCTTCTGCGCCAGCTCCCCAGACCAGCCCTGGCCCTTGACATTCCCATTGGGCTCTGAGAATTTGCACATTCTGCTCCCCTAGCTTGGCGTGAATGCCCTTCATACTTCCACCTGCCTGTCAAAGTCCAGTTTACTTCCTGACTGGGTCATGGAATCACAGTATGTTCGCTGTCCCCCCAGATGCTCATTTAGCCTCCATGGGTCCCGGGGTGGGGGACCCAGGCCCTAAACGGAGGGCTCGGCAAGTGTGGTCTCTCACTTTCAAGGGCTCTCTTAGGGCAGATTAAATAAGGATGGCTACCATTCTTTTGTTTTTTCTTTAAACAGTGTGGGGTCCTGTACCGAGAAGAGTCACACAGTGGTGACATGGGTGCCAGCGCTTGGAACTGGCTAGGTGCCTGCTCCATGACAGCGACGCTCCTCTAACCCTTTCAACAACCAGATGGAGGAGCGGTTCGCTCGTCCTACGGAAGGGAAGTGGCTAGGCGGCATTTAAGTAAGCACCGCAGATCACGGTTGTCATGGCGATGAAGGCAGGAGCCAGGATTCAAACCCAGGCCCTCTGGCACAGTACCCCACACCTCACTGCCACTCGTCTCTGCACAGGCCTTACAGATCTGTCCGGCCTCCCTGCTCAGAGGGAAACCCTGAGGTCCCATGAAGATCATGGTCAAGGTTGCGCAGCTTCATGGGGAAGCGTGGGCTTTGTCCTTATACCACGTGCCGCTTTGTGATGCCTCCCTGACACCAGCCCACCTCCCGCACAGGCCCTGAGCTTCTGGTCTATGGCCTTGCAGGAGAATCTGTGACTTGCTTTAGGTCCCCTGATCCTAGTGACACCCCCTCGCTTTCTTCTCGCCATCTTCCTGATGGCGCGCTGAGTGTCTCGGGCTGGGCTGAATGCGGGGGACAGAGGCAGACTCAGCCCGGCCCCTGGGGGCTGGACAAGCTGGCGGGAGAGGCCCCTCCAGGGGTCCTCAGAACCACAGGAGCTGGGGGGGTCCTGAGCTTACGGGGGCCCGCTGCTGCTGTGCCCGTCTCACGATGGCGGCCCTTCTCAGCTTCGTAAAGGCCGCCCTCTTCCTCAGCAGGTCATTGTAGAGGAACAAGATCCGCTTCTTCTCTCGCTGAGGCCGGGAGGGGGCGTGTCAGGGACAGTGACAGCGCGTCCCCTCAGGGTGGGGTCGGCAGGGTGCGGGCCTGCGGGGTGGGGGGCTGCGTACCTTGGGGAAGTAGAAGGCTGCGATGACCCTCCGGAGCCGGTAGCCGAAGGCTTGCAGCAGGCAGAGAGCGAGCAGCAGCGCCACCGGGAGCGCCACCCGCAGGTAGGCCCTGGGGCTCAGGCTCACGGGCTGCGGCAGGCAGGCTGCGGGGGCCGGGCCGTCACCCCAGCGCCCTGTGTCTCTGGGCGCCCTGCTTCCTCCCGCCCGCCCCTCACCCTGCAGGCTCCCAGGCTGATGGGACTACTTGCTCAGCAGGGCGCAGATGGAGAGAGTATCCCTCACGGGCAGGGTTCTCTAGGGACCCCCTGTCCCCGAAGGCCCCAGGGCCGACACTCCTCTGACCCCAGGCTGTAGTCCGGCAGCTTCAAGCCTGCCTGATGTTCCCGCCCCGACCCCTGCAACCCCAGCATGCCCCCCCCCCGTCTGCCACGTCCCTGGCTGGGGGAGACCCCGGGCCCTGCCCTCAACCCCTTGGAGGCGGCTTTCGCACGTTGCTGGACTCACGCATGTTGCTGGACTCCACCACGGTCTCGGAGGAGGTGTTCAGGGCTCCGATGGTTTTCCGAAGAAGCCGGGCCAGCATGGAGTCCCCCCCGACTCTCACCTCCAGTTTATGGCTGCCTGAGGCCATGGGGGGTCAGGAAAGGGTTGCGGTTTAGGGGAGGGGGCAGGATAGGGACTGGATGTTGGGGGGGTTCAAGGCATAGACGTCCTCGGTGGCACAGGACTTTCCATCCCTTCACTGAACGCTGACCCCTCCCTGTCGCAGGTCCAAAGGGGGCTCGGAAACTGAGGCCCCCGCTGCGGCTGTCAGGTTGCAGGGCCGAGATTTAACCCTGAGCCGGTCAGGGAGGGCTGAGACACCGGAGGAGGTGACACTGGGCGGGGCGGGCGGGGTGGCCGCGGGGGATGGGGGACTTCCCCGGGGCGGCGCGGGCTCACTGCGGAAGGAGTACTGCAGGAAGGAGTGGTGGCGGATGGTGTCGAAGATGGAGTAGAGGGCCCAGTCCAGGCCGCACAGCAGCAGCAGCAGCAGCAGGACGGGCAGGGTCTCCGCGAGCTCCCTCACCTGCCCGAGGACAGGAGCGCCAGGCCTGGCGCCCTCCCTGACGCCCCCCCGCCCCTGCCCTGCGCAGCCGGTGCCCGCCCCGCGCCATCCTCACCACGTGTCTCATCTCCGAGGCCTGCATGAAGGGCTCGCAGGGGAAGATGACGGTCTTCTCCTCGGCTTTGCGGAGCGGCAGCAAAGTCCGCTTGCCCTGGAAACGATGTCCACACAGTGGCGGACACCAGGGCCCTCCCCCCGGGCCCCTCTGCCCTCCTGGAGCGGACACCACACAGGGCACCCAGGGCAGCTGGGTCAGGGCTGTGCCCGCTCACCAACTTCTTCCTGCGCTCGTCGATCTGACAAAAGTAGGTGCTGATGTAGATGTTGTCACAGCGGATGTCCCCGTTATAGCTGTCCACGTAGGAGAAGGACCTGGGCGCAGGGACGTCTCCGTCTCCTCCAGGGCCTCTTCACCCACCCCCAACCGCCGGCTTCCCAGGCGCTCACTCAACAGGCGCCCGCGGCATGTGCGGAGCACCATGTTCGCCGGGGCCCAGACGTCCCGCCTGCCCTCAGCAGCCTGCCGCCCAGTGCAAGGTGGGCCCCACGCAAGCGGGAGGGCCAGGAGGCTCGTGTTTGGGCGGGAAGGGGGCCTCCCAGCCGGGGACCCCCGCAGGGCGGATCTCAAGCAGGGGAAACAGCAGCAGCAAAGGCCCGGAGGCAGGAAGCCGTCAAGGCTGCGGAACGGCCGTCACCCCCACGACTGCCACACTCCTCCCTGGCTGCGCCGGCAGAACCTCTCTCGGAGGCCGCTTCCCGCAAAACCCGTCCCCCACCTACGCCTCCTTCTCTCCCAACACACGCTTGAGTCTGGCAGTGTCTTCTGTGTGTGTGTGCGTGTAAGAGGCTCTCCTCGGAGGCTGCTCCAAACTCCCACGTGATGTTTCAGTTTACGAAGGGGAAACTGCTAGCGATTGGAGATGTGTTTCAAACTGAGAGTTACATTAAGTAAGCTCCGCACCCTGAACCCCGAGTTCCAGGGCTCACGGCTCGGCAGCAACCCTGCTCCGGCCTCGGGGGGCAGAGAGAAGGGCGCGGCCGGCTCGCGAGCGCCCCCTTGCGGAGGGACCGAGCGCGGCCGCGCGGCCGTGACCTCACCGCGTGGGAAGCCTGGACGCGGCCTCCGCGCCCCCGGAGCGCGCTGGGCCCGTGCACCTGCCTCTTCCTGCCTCCGCGTCGCGGGCCGGCCTCCTGCCACGCCCCGCTCCCGCCCGGCTCCCTACCCTCCGACCCTCGACCCTCCGTGGCCTCCCAGCCTCCGGCCTGCAGGGCCTTCCAGACTGTTCCGCCGTGCTCACGGCTGCCCAGGCCTCCCGCCCAGCCTCTGACCCCCGCATCCCACAGATGCCAGGACCCTTGGCCCGGGGAGCCCGCCTAGGGCCGCGGCACGTGCCCAGCTCCCACCCCCGCCCCCCGGCCGGTCCCTCCGGCAGCCTCGGACCTCCCGGCCTCCCCTAGACCGTGAGCGGCCTGAGGGCGGTCTCCCCACGGCCGATGGCCGCACACGGCCCCCCACTCGGCTGCGCCACAGCCGGGCCGGTGCGGCAGGGGTCCCCGTGCAGCGCCTGCCCGGCACGGCGTGTGGGGGTGGCGGCGGGAGACCGAGGGTCCAGAGGTCGCCGGGGACAGCGGGTGAGGCCCGGGGCGGCCCCGCTGGACGCCGGGCTGGGTGGGGTTGAGGACTTTGGTCCAAATGGAGGGAAAGTAGCTGCCAACGCGGCAGGCGGGAGAAAATGAAAGCGGAATTGGACGATAAAAACGGACAAAGTCGGAGCCAAGGGGAATATGAAGGGCAAGAGAAAAATCAAAAGTCAAAGCTAAACGTAAAAAAAAGTCAGCGCTGGGATGAAGGCTGAAGGAGGCAGATAAATGAAGGCGGCCTCCCTTTCAAGGCGGAGGCGACGCGGGTGACTGTCTTCCCACAAAACGTCCACGTTTCCTCTGATTCGGCGTCAACGGCGGATGCCCCGCCGGAGCCCGAGAAGCCCCCCCCCAGGACCCCCACCCCAAGAAGCCCCCGCCCGAGCCCGAGAGGCCCCCCTGGCCCCCCCAGCCCCCCCGAGCCCCCCC